TACCGACGTGTCCGTCGACATCGACTTGGCATACTACTCACACTATTAACAAATGGAACACTGCTGTTTGTTAAAATGCACCTCACTTAGAACATAGAGGACTCCAACCAATCATTCCATTCACATCGGCGATGATGGAAGACTTCGCCCAAATCATTTCTCCTGCTCGCCCATACTGCCGCCAATTTCGGCAGGTCTTCCATATCGCACTCGACCCCCAGGCTGACATGGACATAGCATTCACGTTGGTGGTTCTCGATGACATTCGTCAGATTGCTCGACTCCTTCGAATGATCTATTAAATTAACAACTACTACTGCATTCACATCGACAAACACTCAAGCATTGAATTCCAATTGGCTATGCATGGAGTGGTTAAGTGTTTTGGTGCCAATGTAGAATTAAAAACAGGCCAAATGAATACAGGCATCTTTTCATAATCTAGGAACACGTCTTCTCCACCAAAGCAGCATATGCTGACTACTCATTTGTAAGCAGCAGTGATTTCCAACAAGCAATTTATTGCGTGGCTCACGAATCTATAGGAATTGCATTGTGCAAAATTGCATTCCTACAGAAAGCTGATTTCACAGCACTGCAACCCTCGATGTTCTGACTAAACAAATATTAGGACCAATTGCATTTCTCAAAAAGCAATGTGCATGCTTTTCGTAAATCTACAAACAGAAACTAATAATAATTACAAGTGGTGTGACTTCAAGACTCATTCCGGTGAAGAATATCACTATTGGCATTTCGAAGTGAACAGTGGAGATTCTTGAAATGTGCCTAGGTTGTTGGTACGCATGCTGCTTTTAGTGCAAACAAGGCATTCGTTTAAACAAATCACACCAAACGATGACGCGAACTGCAACTACGTTGGCGTTGTTAGGTGAAAATTACTCAGTTCTTATAACTTGCGTGCAGACACCATTAATTGGAACCTGAACAAGCAGTAAATGAAAAGGAAATGAATTTGGTGGCTGAGTTCAATATCTGTTGCCATATTAGGAGCGGTTATTTAAAGCAAAACCTTTAGCTTTTGAAATGGACAAGTTTTGAAAAATACATTTGAATTTTGAGTTTCATTAACTATTGAATTGTACGCAGTCGGCCATGGCGTCCTAGTGCTGCATGATTGAACTCAGCAAATTTAGACAAAATACGGTCTGACGAATGATAGTGCATTGGTCTGTCGAATTTGCAGATCAGAATTGACAAAGAGAAGGGTGAAGAATCAGCTCATGTATTATTGCAAAACCATGAGGCTACAAACCTCACACCTCATGTAAAATGAAAGCTTATCATCGTCAATCGTCAATCCACGATTAGCGAATGCGACATGACTGCTCGAGCACAAGTGGATGTGAGAGTTAATTCGATAGATCAATCGAAGATTACGATAAGTATAATGAATGTCTGCGTGAACCACCAGCATGAAGGCCGACAGTTTGTACAGAAATTTCCTTCCGTAGGCATCATGCCTTGAGCCCTTGCACCTCATTGTCTACAATATCAAGCGATGGTTTTGACGTCTTAAAGTGGCTGCAAATGTGATGTTTGTCATCTTCAATCTCATTGTGATTTTATGTCGCCTCTAAGCGTTTGAAACGTCCTTAGCGTTGGCTTATCCAATTCAGCACACTAATTATTGTGCAAGCAGGGCTTGCAACCGTTTTATTTCTTCACACAATCCACTATTATTTAATCGTCTCAAGACTGTCACATAATATTTCAAAAATTGCTATTTACACAACCATGTATGAAGTAAGTGTAGGCCTGACTTCTCTAGGTAATTCCACATTTGCACGGAGAAATCTTGCATCTCCACGAATGGCAATTGCAAACCGAATGACGGGCGCAGTATTGGAATGGATTTGTCCGTTTAGAACACAACTATTGGTTTGGGACTATTATGTTCGATGTTAGTTGAATTAAAGTGCAACATTATTGA